GTCGTGGGGTGTCAGGCAGAGGGGGAGTTGGGGGGGGGGGGGGGGGATGTCTTTCGGCGGCGCGTGGGGATGCGGGAACTGCTGGGGTTTTTCCGGTAAGTACCAGAGACGCTAAAAACCAGCCTTGACGATCCGTCACAGGGCTCTATGAGGAGTACAAGACGCTCAAACGGCAGGGCGAGGAGTCGGATCCCTCCCGGAGAAACCCCTCCGGCCGACCGGCAGCCCAGGAGCCCCCAACCGCCGAGCAGGTACGGGAGAAACCCCTCGTTTTGGCCTTGGGTTTTATCTCTGGGAGCCTCGAACACACACACCCCCCCCAGCCCTCCCCGAGACTCGCCCTTGATGCGAACGCTTCGGGGTGTTTCCGCTTCGCCCTTTACCGCAGGCAAAGCCCTCTTCGTCCCGCCCGTTTCTCAGGGGGTTTATTTGACCTTTGCAGGGAAAATGGGCTGATTAGCGCCGTATAATGCCTGTTTTTGACTTAGCGGACGAATAAGACGCCCCAAACAGAGCATTATAAAGAGGCCGCGGGGGCGGGAGATCCAGCGCCCCGCGATCCCTCATGCCCTTCACGCTTGCCGGCGGCCAGGCTGCCGAAAGCCCGGGCTCGTTTTAACCGGCCTCTTAACGAGGCGACGATCGAGCCAACCCCTGTGCTCAGGCTGAGGTGTTAAATGCCCCAGAGCTCCCGTTTCTTGCCCCAAACCGCGCTGGATGCGCTGCCTGCAGCCGAAAGATGCCGCGGCACGGTAACACCGCGCTGCTTCTCCAGCGGCTTTCTCCTCTCGGAGGTATCGGGGCTCGTCTCCGCGATAGGATTCACGGGTTTGGGGTTTAAAAGTTTGGATTTAACAGGGTTTCGGATTCAGTGGTTTGGATTTAATGGTTTGCGGTATCCTTGCAGGTGCCGGACTCCGGTTGTTGGGGCGCGCACCTGAACCGGCAACCGAAAACCCCCGGGCCGAGCCGCCGCGGCCGCGCCATGCCGAAAGCCTCGGCACAGTACTACGGGATGAAGCTGAAATCCAACCTGGGAGCTGCCGGGAAGGTCAGGGCCGGCCAGGGATCGGTGCCGCGGCCCGGAGGGAAGCTTCTCGTGACCCTTTTTTCCCCTCTCTGGCCGCTCCGAAATGGCGGCTCCCTCTCCGCCAGAGCCCCCCCGAAATGGCAGCCCCCTCTCCGCCAGAGCCCCCCCGAAATGGCGGCCCC